CATTTAAGAATATTTGTAGACATGCCATAATTGATTTTGTTTAGGTTGGGTTTTAACTCTTTGATGTATAATGCTTCAAGTATTTTTAGTTTTTGTCTATTGTTTTCATGTCGAAGTATAGTTGTGTTTTCGACAAGTATTTTACGGAATTGTTGTGTGCGGGCAGGCATGTTGTTTTAAATCCTAAAAATGTTAGAGTTTTCATTAAAATGTAGTGTCAAGCGTCGTGAAAGCGAGTTTGTGGTGTGACCAACATAAATACTATTTAATTCGTTGGAGATACACTCTCCTAAAGGGCACTTGAATTTATAAACTATGTTGGTTTTTTGCAAATTTTTACATAAAATAAATAGACAACACTTGTCTATATTATTTAATGAAACGTGTAAAAATATATATATATATATATATATATATATATATATATATATTGTTGTGACTTGTATATATAAAAATGAATTACTGGTAATTTTACCATAAAAATGTATTTTTTCATACTTCTATAGTATTTCGTTTTTGTTTTGGGGGTGTCACAATTTGCCCATAGCTGGGACCCTAACAGGTGCTACCACCCCGAAGTAAGAAGACGTTCGTATTACAAACATAATTTCCATCAACAAAAAAATATGAAAGTCTAAAAATACATTTTTACAGTAAAGGTACCAGAATACATTTATTATATATATATATATATATATATATATATATATATATATATAATTTTACTATAATAGATCACAATAAAAACATTTTACTTCGCTACACAAAAGCTTTCATGTTTCAGTACTAAGATTTTAGTTCCTTAGACGATAGAAGATAACTAAAAATGAATTATTAGTTAAATTTAAAAACAAACCTTTGAAAAACCTTTTTGAAAGTTAAAGAGAGACATAAGGTCAGAATTAAGAATATTCTTATGGATAGGTTTAGATTAACCAATTAAACGTCGGATCTACGTTAAAATATAAATATGAGGTCAGAGGTGGGAGGTGGCTGGGTTATTTTTACATGTCAAGAAAAACTGACGCTTAGACATGTCATCCGACGATACAAGGAAACAATGCAGCGACAAATGCATTATGGATTTAACCATGTATGATGTGCTTATTTATGGAAGTAGACATAAAGTTATCAGAAACATTTTTTTTTTAAATTGAAAAAAAATTTAAAATATGCTCAGGAAGCTTCAAGGGGCCCTTAGGTAAAATTAAAAATATGGAACGTTGCTAATTATACTGAATAGACGGTAAAACATAGCAATATTAAAATTGAATAAATCAAATAACTATTGTGTGGACCATTATATACTAATAAAATAATGGCTATACAATTGTAATACGTAATTATTTATGAAAAAAAAAATTAACTCTGTTTTAAGGTAAAAGGTAGACAGTGCCGGCATAACACCCTTAATTCATTTTTTTAGTTAAACTCATCTTTATTATTAGGAATCTTTATAATATGCAATTTTTTCTTGTAAACACAGGGAAAATGGATCATGTAAGGATTTACAAGTTCTACATCTTTTAATATTTTGCATTTTAGCGTAGGAGTTTTGTTAACTTCTTTTAAGTGCTAAAAATATTTAGAAAGGGACGTTCTGTTGCGGTACGCATTGTTGTTGAAAGATAATGTATTGATATCACTTAATTTTAAAGGAACTTTTTGGTACTACCGATATAAAAATTTTTAACCATTGGATTTTCTCTAGATGAAATAGTACTTAGGTAAACAAAGGACTCAGTTTGTTACCTATTTTGTAATGGACAGAGGATAGGATTTCTACAATTACAGAAGTTGGTATCATTATTGCTTTGTTGCTTTAGAATGGTTATTGTTACTTAGGTTAAGTGTTGATTTAAAATGTTATTATTGTGTTTTTTAATAATTTTTCAAGGTTATCAGTGCAACTGTAGTTTAATTTAAGTGTATTCTTATTAAATATCTTACTAAGAAGGATATTTCCAGGTAAGTATTTATCAATTAAATTGAGAAACTTAACTTAGTACTAACCATTTGGTTAAATGGGCGTGTGTGCCAAATGATTTTTCTCTTTCTATTTTTTCACACTAACACAGTTATGTTTACCGTATTTAATGCCTAGGCTCTTATAACCACTATTTTTTAATGCGATGTTGCAATATTTGCTATGTTTATAAAATACATCTTCACTGGAATAGTTATTTATTAATTCTATATTCTTTGAAGGATGGTGTGTCTTGAGTTATAGATGGGGCATGATTAGAATTTGGGTGTCTATATAATGAATTTGAATTAGTTTTAATGTAGGGTTGGTAAGTATTATTGACTAGACTAGTGTTATATCAAGGAAATCCACTTTTTTTAAAAAATTTGTGTTGATTTTAATTTTCAGGTTTAGACATTGAAATTCCCTATGTATTAATTTCCAGATCGTGTCAGTTTTAATTTTTGTAGAATTTTTCACCACCATAAGGCTGTCATCTCTATATAAGCCTATGTCTTCTATGTTGATATCATGGTGGGCACTAAGGTCATATAAAACTGAATAAACCAACAAGGTCAGAAGACTCAGACTAGTCTAACGATCCCATTTCAATATCAAATTGTTCAATTGAATTATTTTTTATCCATTGTTCTTTGTTATGGATGAAGGCAGATGTTCTAGAGCTCATAATAATGCCCAGTTCCTCGTTTGAAAGATCGGAGTACTCGGTGGGGAATTCCAATGGAATAAATTATGTCCATGGAATATTAGTGTTTAAGCCTTTTTATTATGTCCTTACTCTGTCCTGGACATTGAGTTCTACCTGGATTCTTCCTCTTGGAATTTTTTTTATACAAATATATATGTATGTGTATGTATGTATATATATTTATATATTTTAGATATATGATTGCATATGTATATTTACCACTAATATTATCTATCTATCTATATATATATATATATATATATATATATATATATATATATATATATATTAATTTTTTTTATAAAAAAATTATAACATAAGTATGTTATAAAATCACTACAAAAATACCCATTTTGTTTCAACACACTCTGTGTCTTATCAAGTGATGATGTTGAAAAAGAAATAAATGGTTTTAAAAGTTTCCAGATTAATTAACGATCCTACACTAGGGGGAAACATTGTTACAAAAAGCTAGAATAACCAATCAAAAACGAAGTATAGAAAGATTCAAAAGCTTGACAACGAAATCCTGCTATAATAGCTATTCAGATCTCTTTTAAGAATAGTAATTGTTGGTTATTGAATTCATTCCGTATATACCAATTATATAATTTGATATATATATATTCATTCCGTATATACCAATTATATATTTTGATATATATATATATATATATATATATATATATATATATATATATATATATATATATTCCGTATATACCAATTATATACTTTGATATATATATATATATATATATTCATTCCGTATATACCAATTATATACTTTGATATATATATATATATATATATATATATATATATATATATATATATATATATATATATTAAGAAATGGACAAGGTCCGACAATTTATTTATTAAAGACATTTTTATTTAACGTTGTTATTTATAGATACATTTTATAAATAACCGATAATTTAAACAAATGTCTGTTTATTATAAACAGGTCATCATTTGGAAATAACATTTACCGGCCTGAAAGGACGTCAGCGTAAATGACGGTTCCGTTCTTTGATGCAGGTTCGAATCCTGTCAAACAACGAATATTTTCTATGAAAATTTCTTGGACATTCAGGCCGGTAAATGTTATTTAATACTGTTTATCATAAACAGAGCATTTGCTTAAATACTTGTATCTATAAATAACAACGTTAAACATAAAAAATGTCTTTAATATATATATATATATATATATATATATATAAATTGCCAAAAAATACATATTTGTAGTAAAATTACTACGAATACATTTTGTCGACCAACAATACATTTTATTTGTAGTTGAAGGCATACAATTACATTCAAAATATTTAGATTTCTTCATCAAATAATAAAAATATAATATTAAACAAATAATAATAATAATAATAATAATAATGATAATAATAATAATAAAACATAGAGGTTTATCTACCGCTAAACAAAACGAAATCAACAAAAACCAGCCAACAATATATTTTATAGTCAAATGACCAGCAATATATTTTATTTACAGTTGAAGGAATACAATAAGGCTCACTATATTTAGATTTCATCATTAAATAATAAATGTATAATATTAAACAAATAATAATAATATTAACGTCCTGGGTATGACGATAAATTACATCCGCAGCCTTGGTTAAGGCGATAGACTACGCCCGACAGCAAAGGTCACTGTTCAGGAGGTTTTGAGGAGTGTGGAACCACTTCTTAATTGCTGGTGTTCCCATGTCCACCCTGACCCGAGGTGGTAACACCTGTTAGGGTCCCATCTATGGGGAAATAGTTAACGCCCAAAATGGGGTCTAAACACTATTAAAGTGTAAAAATAAGTTTTAATAACAGACACTTTTTGTTAAAAAAACTATTACCAGCAATACTTTTTTTAAAAAAATATTAACAACAATATATTTTTGGATAAAAATATTACTAGCAATAAAAATTTTGTCGGCATTAAATAACTCATTAAGGTTGATATTCCAAAATATACTAAATCAAATAATATTAAACAATAAGACATAGAGGTTGATAGTCTGTAATGTTTGCATATAAGAATGAATTGTTAGTATTTTAGTATAAAAATGCATTTTTAAAGTATTATAGTGTTTCGTTTTTGTTTGGGGTTCATTGTTTGCCCATAGCTGAGACCCTAACAGGTGCTACCACCCCGAATTTAGAAGAGCTTCGTATGTACAAACATAATTTCCATCAGTAAAATAATGTCGGCATTCGAAGACATAAATATATATTAATTTGAATTGAATAAATGCAGGTGTATACATCTGCAAACGAATCCCAAATTTCAAACACGTGGTGGTTTACAACCACACCATGCTGAAAAACCGGTTCCCGTACGATAACTGAAGTTAAGCAACTTCGAACCGGTCAGTCCCTAGATGGGTGTCCGCTTGGGAATACCAGGTACTTTAAGCTTGGATGTCCGGGACATGTAATGGAGAATTGCTAGGAATTATTAATTGGAGACGCGAGTTCCAATTCCAGTTGTGTTCATTATTTACACTTACGCACAAATACCCTTAGGAAAGGTAAGAATACAACTCCCCAGTTATGGGTTAATTAGTAAGTCTTGTATCACTAAAACCATTATTATCTAAAAAAAAAATTGCGTACAAAATATTTAGATTTCGGCATTAAATAACCCATAGAGATGTTGATATGCCTCTAAACAAAAATAATGATCAACCAACATCAATTCGCGGTGAAGATTACAAATAAATGCCGTAAAAAATAAAATTAGTATAGATATGTATATATCTATATAGTATATATATTTTAATACTGTTCAAAGAAATTGATGTTTTCAGAAATAAAATGTCTTTTTTTTGTTTTCAAAGTTTTTTGTTTTTTTTCATATTTTCATTTTTCTAATGCATTTTTAAAAAACATCAAATACATTTTGTAGTCATTTTAGCATTACACAGAAAGTCCATATCTACCAATGATGGCACGAGACAACAAAGAAAAAATTAAGTGCCTCATAATTTTTTTTTTAATTTTTTTTTTCAACACTCCATTTACACTTTTTTTTTCATAGATATTTTTGTTCAGTCTTTGTTTTCTTCTTTCTCCAATTTCTTTTATTTTGTGCAACGCTTCATTGATCAAAGACGGAGAACTTTGATCTCGTCTCCAATTCTATAAAATGCGATTATGGCAGAGAAACAGTGGTAGTATTTCTTTGGCATCTGTTTAGGGAAATCTATTAAAAAAAAAAACTCCCTTCTCTATCTCAAAAAAAAAAAAAAAATGCTTGTAGCCCTTGTCTACGCATGTGCGGAAGCTATTTGATTGGTGGACGATAATTATCAAGCAATTAGGACGACTTCCGGTTTAAATTATCGTCTGCTTTCAAACGGCGCCTTTATCTTTTATTATATTCCTGTTGGTCTTCTTGTTGTTGTTGTTATTACTGTTGTTGTAGACGATGATTATGGCCATTATATTGATTTGGCATCAATGCAACCAAAATTATCATTAATAAAAATGAATACTTCATATTCAAATCTTATTGATACTAATAGTTTGTTTTTCTTCATTTATTATCAATTGTTTGTATATAATAATCGGATTCATCGGCCGTAGTATTCATATCGTTTAAAACTTTGATAGTATATATCCGTCCTGGGAATGACGATAAACTACGTCCGACAGCAAGGCCTCTGATCAAGAGGTTTTGAGGAGCGTAGAACCACCTCTTAATTGCTAGTGTTCCCAGGTCCACCCTAAACCGGGGTGGTAGCACCTGTTAGGGTCCCAGCTTTGGTCAAATTTTTAACCCCAAAACTGGGGTCAAAATATTATGAAAGTGTAAAAATAGGGTTTAATACCAGAAATATTTTGTAAAAAATTATTACCAGCAATAAATTTTTGAAGGAAAAAATTTTACCAACTATACATTTTTGAAAAAATAAATAAAAATATTACCAGTTATACATTTTTTGGAAAAAAAGATATTACCAGAAATAGATTTTTATAGTTAAAAATATTACCAGAAATACATTTTTGGGGGAAAAAATATTACCAGAAATAGATTTTTGGAGGAAAAAATATTACCAGAAATAGATTTTAGGAGGAAAAAAATATTACCATAAATAGATTTTTGGAAGAAAAATATTACCAGAAATAGATTTTTGAAGAAAAAATATTACAATAAATAGATTTGTGCAGAAAAAATATTGCCAGAAATAGATTTTTGAGAAAAAAAAATATTACCAGTAATAGATTTTTGGAAGAAAAAATATTACCAGAAATAGATTTTTGAGGAAAAAAATATTACCATAAATAGATTTTTGGAGGAAAAATATTACCAGAAATAGATTTTGGAAAAAAAAACTATTACCAGAAATAGATTTTTTTGAAAAAATATTGCCAGAAATAGATTTTTTGAAGAAAAAATATTGCAGAAATAGATTTTGAGGAAAAAATATTACCATAAATAGATTTTTGAAGAAAAAAATATTATCAGAAATAGATTTTTGAAGAAAAATATTACCAGAAATAGATTTTTTGAAGAAAAGTTTTTACCAAAAATAGATTTTGAGGAAAAAATTTTACCAGAAATAGATTTTTGGAGGAAAAATATTACCAGAAATAGATTTTCGAGGAAAAAAATATTACCATAAATAGATTTTTGGAGGAAAAATATTACCAGAAATAGATTTTTGAAGAAAAAAATATTACCGGCAATAGATTTTTGAAGAAAAAATATTGCCAGAAATAGATTTTTGAGGAAAAAAAATATTACCATAAATAGATTTTTGGAGGAAAATATTATTTTTGAGGAAAAAATTTTTACCAAAAATAGATTTTTGGAGGAAAAAATATTACCAGAAATAGATTTTTGAAGAAAAAAATATTACCAGAAATAGATTTTTGAAGAAAAGATATTACCAGAAATAGATTTTTGTGGAAAAACTTTTACCAAAAATAAATTTTTGGAGGAAAAAATATTACCAGAAATAGATTTTTGGAGGAAAAAATATTACCAGAAATAGATTTGTGAGGAAAAAAATATTACCGGCAATAGATTTTTGAAGAAAAAATATTGCCAGAAATAGATTTTTGAGGAAACAAATATTACCATAAATAGATTTTTGGTGGACAATATTATCAGAAATAGATTTTTGAAGAAAAAAATATTACCAGAAATAGATTTTTGAAGAAAAAATATTACCAGAAATAGATTTTTGAGGAAAAAAATTTACCAAAAATAGATTTTTGGAGGAAAAAATATTACCAGAAATAGATTTTTGAAGAAAAAATATTGTCAGAAATAGATTTTTGAGGAAAAAATTTTTACCAGAAATAATATTTTGGAGGAAAAAATATTAGCATCAATACATTTTTAGGAAAAAATATTACCAGGAATAAAAATTTTGTAGCTGTTAAATAACCAAATAACCTATTGAGGTTGATAAGCTGTAAAAGAAAACAAACCAAATCAAGAAGTATATATCAACATTAATATTTAATTAACCATATTCGAACTATTTTAGCGTCACAAGCTATGTAGATTTATGTATAACCGAAATTGATCTCTTTTAATCGTCCAAGAGAAACCTTTTAAACTTCTATCAGTATGGCTAATGCTAACCCCCATGAGAGTGACTCATCGTTCCTACTAGGACTAACATCTTCCGCTGATATGAAGTGTATAGATTATATTAAATCAATTGTTAGTTCTGCCTCTAGAAAAGTTGTTTCACTGTGTTGTGCTAGACAATTTTTCATGCCAGAATCTATCTTACATATTTATAAGTTTACCATTCGACTTTGCTTTGAATATTACTACCATCACCTGGACTGGTGCTCTATTAAGAGATTCTCGATGAAATCAAAAGAAGAATTTGCAGTATTATTGGGACCTTTTCCAATCAATCCGAGGGCTCCAACTACAACTGAAATGGTTAATGTCTTCAAGTGCCACATTTTTGAGATTTCCATTTCAAAGTCCTCATATTTTGATAGTTTTTTTTTCAAGATCTTCAAAGATACATTACAGTCTATAGGGACTACCACGTCAATAAGGATACATATTCTGTTTTTATGGTCTCTGATCACGATGTCTAGGCAATTAGCTTTGATTGTTCTGTCTTTGAGTATTGTAAAGTCCCATAAAATTGTTACAGATCCTATCTCTGTAATCGGGTCTGGATGGTGTTCATATCAATTTCTTGCTGTTTCCTTTACGTAAAAATTACATATTTTTTAATGCAGATATTGGCCCACTCTGCCATGCCGAATTTTATATTTGGTGGGCGCTTTATTATTATTATTATTATTATTAGTAGTAGTAGTAGTAGTAGTAGTAGTAATATTAATATTATTATTTTATTAAAATTTCTGCTATTGTCACACTAGCTACCGAATCTGCGGGAAGACCTAAGGTAGGTGTATTGTTATGTCTACATTTCATGATCTGTTTTTCTAACTCCCATAACATCAATAGCGTTAAATGGACAAAGTTCTTCTTAGTTTGTGGGCTGTACTTATCAAGAAAATTATTTGTATTTCTCTTAAGCTGGGATTTCCAGAGATTTAAAAAAACATTTCAATGTGTTGTTGTGTTCCTTTTTTATCATTCCAAGCGCACCTACTATGACTGTAACTATTCTTGTTTTCAATTTCCACATTTTATTTCTATTTCGATTTCCAGGGTTTTATACTTCGATAGTTTTTCAAATTCCTTTGTTGCATTGTTACAGTCCGCTGGGCAAGCCACATCAATTAGTAGGCAATATTTTTTTTTCGCTTTTTGATAATAATGCCCAGCCTACTTGCTTCAATCTTCCTGTCTCTAAAGATGGTGTCATCTCACAGAATTGTGTAAGTATTGTCCCACTCTATCGTGATGTTTTTTATATTCATTTGCCGCAAGTACAGAGCATCCTGAGATTATTATTATTATTATTATTATTATTTATTTCTTTTGATTTGTGGCGTTTACACCATTTCTTTCCGGGTCCCACACAGGGACCTAAGGTTAGAAATGGCACCATTTCCACCGAAAAAAAAATTACATAGATAAAGTAAAGTGTGCTCTGTACTTGTGAGAACAATTTTTTGTATTTCTTTGAGGCATGGACTTCCAGGAACCCCTTCATTTAGCCTACGGAAATATTTTCCAACCAATCCTAGGGTTCCAACTACAACAGAGATGATTAATGTTCCCATGTCCTCAAGTGCCAAATTTTTTAGATTTCTATTTGAAGGTTCTTGTATTTTGACAGCTTTTTGAATATCTTCAAAGATACATTGCAGTCAGCAGGGACTGCCATATCAATAAGGATGCACCGTTTTTGTTTGTGGTCTTTAATAACAATCTGGTATTATTATTATTATTATTATTATTATTATTTTCTTTGATTTCTGGCGTTTACACATTTCTTTCCGGGTCCTGCCCAGG